TTTGAACCATTGACCTTTTGGTTAGCAGCTGAGCACTTAACCAGGGTGCCACCAAACCAAAAAAAAAAAAAAAAAAACCATTACTGTCAAGTCGATTCCGACTCAGCGACTCTAAGGACAGAGTATAAGTGCCCCATAGGGTTTCCAAGGCTGTAAATCTTTACAGGAGACGGCCACATCTTTGTCCCGCAGAGCAGCTGGTGGGTTTGAACCACCAACCTTTCAGTTAGCAGTTGAGCACTTTAACCACTGCACCACCAAGGCTCCTAAGGGGGAAAAGAAATGGAAAGTATTTTGTTATAAAATAACATGTTGAAATATGTAAATGCTTGGGCACAGCTATACTAGAAGACATAATGAAGTCATGTGCTTACACCTATACTTAGAATTACTGTGAATGCAACAGCTACAAATGCACAGATAAAAGTTATATTAGAAACTCAGATTCTATTATCTGAGTATGTATCACCAATGGTGAGGTGGTTTTCTGAAATGATGAACAATTTTTGGCAGTATTCTGGACAAAACAATCTAAGTTTACCTTGATTTATTCAGTAGTTGGAATCCTAGAAAACTGAGACGGGTATATGAAAACTGTAAAAAAGATTGTGTGTAAAATGGAATTAGGTTCTAAGCTAGATTTGTCTTTATTGTATAGAAACAACCGGTTCTTTGAAGGGCCTCTAGCATCTCTGGGTACTTCCCCTCCATGATTGTGACAAACAAAAAATGCTCCCATAAATTTCTGAAACACCCCCCTAGAGGACGGTATTGGTGCTATTGAGAACAAGTGTCTAAACTGCCTTTCTGACAACCCTGGGGCAATTGCTTAGTAGCAGTGCAGTGTCATCTCCTCTACCGGGGAAGTAAGTCCCAGTGTCGGCAGGGGACTGCACCCTCCATTTCCCCCTCCCCCATTCTGGAGTTAAGAAAGGCCCTGGGTGTCTCCTGTGGTGTGAGGGGATCCATCCGGTAACTTTGAGACTTATGTGTTAACTTTCAGTAATCATGCTCTGGTAAACTGTCGTCTTGAAATTAGGCTTTTAAAAGGTAGTATATGAAGGAAAGGAGCCCTGGTAGCGCAATGATTAAGCGCCCATCAGCTGCTTGAACCTACCACAGGTTCTGCAGGAGAAAAGACGTAGTGATCTGCTCCCCTCAAAGATTACAGCCTAGGAAACTATGGGGGCAGTTTAACTCCGTACTGTTCGGGTTGCTGAGTTGTAATCGACTTGATGGCACACAACAACAGCATTATAAAGGAGTGCCCTTGGAAAACTGTATAATCCAATTCCGGGTCACGTCGGATGGTCTGTGGAGCTAGCATCCAAAGAAAATCAGTCTAATTATGACAGCTCAGTTAAAATTTTTATTAAAAATACTACTCTATTTCATATATATCTTTCCATAGACATGCAGACTTATAATCCGCCTTGTACCCAATATGACTTATTTATAAATATAAAACAAACAGGATACCAGAAACAACCTAAAATGAGAATGAAAATAAAAGTTGGAATGTAAAATAAAGCCAGGAATGAAACACACGCCCTAACCTATATTAATAGGGATGACAGACAAAACTATTCTCTAGAGCCAGACAATGTGGTGGTATGCATTCCAAAAGTCTTAACTGTATTTATAGAGGAGGGGGTGGGATTAAAAAGGCCATGAAAACGAACAAAAAAAATTACTTTTCAGCACTGGCAATTACTGGTGGCTTATCAAAGTACGTACATCATCTCCTTCGCTTTCCAAAACGCCTAAGAGAAAATCCCTTTTCTGTTTCACATGTTTTTCAAGAACATTTTTATGCGTATACATAAAGCATGTTTTTGTTTTATACCAAGGTGACTTGAACAACTGGTGCTTATTTTAAATTCTTGAAACAAAATTCATGCAGAGGACTGGAAATTCCTATCCTCAAAAGGCATATAAAGACCACACCTCCTGTTCTTAAACGCACCAGAAGCGGATTTGAAGCGCGGCGAAGCTGGCCGTGAGTCCTCGGCTCTGTAGCAGGCCCACGGTCGCACAGCAACGACAAACCAAACCCGTTGCGGTGGAGTCGATTCCGACTCATAGTGACCCTACAGGGCAAACGAGGACGACGAAAACAGAGATTAAACCTCCCCTCTCTCCCGGGAAAGAACATCGCCACTTCCATGTCGTGGGCGGGACCTGCACTTGCCGGAAGTGGCTGGGAAGGGGGCGGAGCTGGTGCCGATCGTGCTTCCGGCCTGGAGGGAAGGGTCAATGTTCTCAGAATCAGAATCTCACACCCGCAGGAAGCTTCTTATAGGGTAGACAATAGGAGAGCAGGGAGGGAATGTTGGTTAGGTAGCGTGAAGGGGCCGCTGAGGTTGGCTGCGCACACCGATGAGTGGCTGCACGATCTGAGAGCTCTGCACATCTCCAGCCGCCCGACGCCCCGTAGCCTCCCGCCTTCTAGTGTAGGCGGACGCTGTACGTCTCCAGCCGGTGATGCGCGCCTTCGGCTTTTCGTTCTAGGGCTGACTGCTTTACCTAGTGAGCCACTAAATAGGAATTAATACATTTATTATAATTGAAAATTGAAATCCGATTTAGCGGATTTTGACAATGAGGGCTGCCTTTAAATTATGTGGCCTACATTTCCCATAGATTTAAAATTTTATCTGCATCAAGGGGTGGACGAAAATATATTCAAAGCACATACACAATAGGTCAGAAAAGAAATCCTTTGCAATTCCTTGAAAAGTACGTTGTCAACCTAATTGCGAAGTGGTACCATTTTTCAATTGAAAGGGGTAGGCAAGTAAAAAAGTTTGAAGACCAGTATGAGCCTTTGACCACGGTGCAAGTTAGTCAAAGGTTGGCAGTCTCAAAAAAGTTAGTGGATTTGGTTTCAAGAATGCACTGGCATCAGAGTGGACTTATGGTTCAGTATTACTTATGGGTCTGTTCCTGATCCTATAGAGCAAAGCATATTATCGGCAAAATTGTATTCCACATGTACTGATCATGTAAGCAGAGGTACTTTCACTTTCAACTGAAATATAAAGAAAGCCAAGCAGTCACTCTACCAGTAATCTTCTACCCCTAAACCCCGTATCTCTTTGCCTAGACATTTTGCTGTTTGCCCCACCCCAGTTAATTCACCAAGTGCTATCCCTTACATCTTCTGAATCCTATCCCTTTTCCATCCTCATTGCCATTTTCCGGCCTCCAAGCCTCCCACTTTAGCACTTTCCAAATACAGCTCTCTCCACATAACATCTGCCATTTGCCTGATCTATCCAAGTTTCCTGAACTCACCTTTTTTCCTCTCCCCTCTGCCTAGAACACTTCCCCACTGACTGCACACTGCACCAGGGAGGCTCTCCTCTGCCCCAGTTAATTCACTCCTGTTCCCATAAATTTACGCTTACATCGTGCTTAACAAGAGGCACAGAAGTTAAGTGCTTTCCATTTTAATCTTCATAATCTCAAGTACGTATTTTTACCTTAAATTTCAAAGATGAGGAAATTAAGTAACCAAGCCTAAAAGGACAGTTGTTAGGTTTGGAGCTGAAATTAAAACATCAGTCTGAAACTTAAAACCCTTTATTATCTGTACCTTCAACGTCTAGTAGGAGTCAGTTAAATGTTGAATTGAGCCTCTAATTGTTAATTACTGCCTGTTACAAATCCATAGCTTCAGCTTCCGTATTAGAAGTCCTCCAAACAACTCCTTACATACCCCTTGCTCTGGAGTCAATCATGACTCATAGTGACCCTACTGGACAGTGTAGAACTGCCACTGGAGTTTCCAAGGCTGTATAATCTTTCTCCCTCCAAGAAGCTGGTGGGTTCAAACTACCAACCTTCCAGTTAGTGGCCAAGCGCTTAACCACTGTCACCAAGGCTCCTTAACAAACTCAGAACCTCTATTTTTACCTTTCTTCATCAGTACCTTTATATTAGATGCAAGCCCACATGCTTGTCATATTAATGCCTTCCTGATTCTCCCCCTTTCATACACATCTATGTCAAACCCTTCACCAACCTAAACCCAGCAGCATAGATGCCGTTAACGATCTCTGCCAAGGGTTCAAGAATATCTAAAATACTGGGAAGAACTGTTAAGAGATGCAGCAAATTATAATTTATACTGAGATCTATGAGGGTCTTATCTGCACACAAGCAATCGTCTACAGTTTGGACTCAAAAAGAGTTAGAAAAATTGTTAAGCTTTTTGTTTCTAAACATTTACACCCCTACGCACAGGACCTATGAATCCTTGAAATTGTGTTCTGGGATCCCACCCACTTTGATGTGTAAACTCCCTGGTGTGTTTCAAATTCAGATTGCTGGCCCCATATCTTGATTCAGTAAATTCTGGTTTTAACTAGGCCATGCCTCATCAAGGATGGTGAGACCATGGCTCATGTACTTTGGACATGTTATCAGGAGGGATCAGTCCCTGGAGAAGGACATCAAGCTTGGTAAAATAGAGGGTCAGCAAAAAAAGAGGAAGACCCTCAACAAGATGGACTGACACAGTGGCTCTAACAATGTGTTCAAGCATAACAAAGACTGTGAGGATGGCGGAGGACCAGGTAGTGTTTCGTTCTGTTGTACGTGGGGTCACTAAGAGTTAGAACCAACAGCACTTAATATGCCCCATCAAAACCAAGTCCTCCCGTTTAAGCCCACGGAGCATGAAAGAATACATTTTCCTTACTCACAGAAAATTCACAGTACACAACACGAACAGGTGTTTCAACCAGAAAATAATGTATTATCAACAGGTATAATTTTCACTTCATAAATGAAAAGAAGTGTTAAGTTAGGTAATGGCCCAAGCCTCTAAGTGCTGTTGTATCCCTACCATATAGTTTCTGAGGATAGTCAGCAGGGAAACACAGGCCTCCATACTTCTAGAATCTATTTTGTGGGGTCCTGATGCTGGCAGCGCTCAGCACTAGCTACACATATAGGGATGTAGAGGTGACACCAAAGAACCTACACTCAGACCATAAGGGAAAAGCATTTAACATTTAATTAACCTCCAGGTAGCTTCAAGCCACCAGGACACAGGCCCCCCCAACACCCTTAATCTTCTCCTCAGCTCTTCTGCTGAAGAATTTGGCCTTCACGATGACAGGTTGCTTTGGGAGCTTTCCCTTCCCCAGAACTTTGTAGTAGCCCTAGAAGAACAAAGAAATGGGTTTATAATACACCATGGCAGTAACCTACTGTGACAGGTATGAAGAAAGATGTCTGCCAACTCACACCTTCTAAGAGCCAGTTAGGGCATGTTTCTGACCAGGGCACTAGCAGGGGCACTGACTGCCTCCACCAGTGAATCAAGACCAGCAGATTCTCTCCGAGGACTACAGCACACCAGGACAAGAGCTGTGTCGAGATGTGACTCTAGTCTCGAGCAAAGCACAAATCCCCTCCCTGACTCAATAACTATGATAAGCAGAAATGGAAAACCAAACATTCCCAGCCAAGCTGCAAAACGCCCTGGATGACCACCAAAATTGCTCAAGGGACATTAAATAGGCTGGGAAGAGGGATTTAAAGTTTAACTAAAAGCTTCCTAGGGTTCTGACCTAGGAAGATTTTGGGGGGGAAATCTCTTAAGATTATGTAGAGCCTTGAATGACAATCAAGCATATCACGATTTTATTCTGTAAGAAATGCGATGCTACTTAAGAATCAGAACTGTGCCTCATGTAAATAAATGCCAGGCTTGTGCTGAAAGACCAGCAATGGACGTTGCTGCCAATAGCCCAGGCAAGAAAGGCAAACCTGTACCGATCAGTGCAATGACAGTTAAGAACAAAAAGATTACTGACTGGCGAGATATTCAAGAGAAAATGTACTAAACGAAGGAGAAAATGAAAGAATCACTCTCAAATATTTTGCTTAAATCACATTCAATTGATTTGTGTTCCCCTTCTGTGAGGGAGAAAAAAAAGGAGCAAGACAGAGATGGAGTAAGGAAGAGTTTGGTCATGGTCAATTAATTACCTATGGTAATTCTAGCAAAAGATGGAATTATCTCGTCGGTAACTGGCTAAGTATAGAATAGACTTCAGGTGAGAGAACAAATCTATAAAGGCAACAAATACCGAATTTACTCACCGATCGCACCACATCAATGATGGGAGCAGCTCCAGTCTTATTTTTGGCAGCATTTACCCTTGTCTGCTCACTGACCAAGGTCCACAACTTATCGAGGTTGACAGTTGGGCAGAAGCTCTGGTTCCTCTTCAAGTGGTAATGTCTCATACCAACCTTCCCAAAGTAACCTGGATGACTGGGAAGAGAAGGCAACATCTTTAGAACCTCACACCAATTAAGAAACTATGCATTTCATCTTTAAAGTCTATGGTGTAGTGGTTAACAGCTACGGCTGCTAACCAAAAAGCAGTTTGAACCCAACAGCTGCTTCTTGGAAACCCTATGGGGCGGTTCTATTCTGTCCTATAAGGTCTCTACGAGTCAGAATCGACTCGACAGCTTTGGGTTGTTTTTTTTTTTTTTAAAGTCTATCCACCCTCCGCTAATTAATTGTTCACTAGTGTAGAACTGTGACTGGCACATAGCAGGCAGTTGATAAGTATGCTGAACTGAGGAAGAACCTCACCTTATTTCACAGGACCAGGATAAGTCAGGGCCAGCACCAAAACTGTAACTCAGGCTTACCTGAGGGAATTCTATAGAAATTCTACACAGTCCTGTAACAAAGGTCTCCTAAATGTTGTTGGAATATTGTCCCCTAATTTGTCGGCATAAACTAATCCAACAGTTGTACATGTCAATCTGATGCATGTTGCTAACCTGGTGACTGACTGTGCCACAAGGCCCACAGCCAGTGAATAAGGTCAGCAGTTACTCTTCGAGGACTGTAGCACACTAAGGCAACACCAATACCCAAGCGTGACTCTAGCCTCAACTACAAGTTTTCTTGGTTCACATCAAGTGTTAAAGTAGCAATAAGAAAGGCTTGTGAGCATAAGAGGCTTGCCTCCAACTGAGGGTGCTGAGCCAGACCATTCTGCTCCTACCCACAAGGTATCTGTAAAAGCATAGTTCAAGAAACACTCACTATTTGTCGAAGTTGATCCTGTGGTGATGCATGCCACCAGCATTACCCCGGCCTCCTGGGTGCTTCCGGTGCTTGCCTACGGGAATACAAAACTACATGGCTAACACAGCCTTCCCCGGCCCCTCATTACCTCTTCCCGCCAAATCCAAGCATTTCCTCACACTTCTGTGCCTTTACGTATGTTGTGGACAGTCTACGCTACCTCTTTCACCACTATTCCTTCAAAACGCCAGGTTAAACATCTCCGCAGTTTCCCACATCACAGCATTTTCACAGTACTCCATGTCTTCAACCAATTCAACACTGTGCCCCTACTCGATTTTTATCCCCGAATGATGCAAAATTCTCTAAAATAGGAGTACTACGGGATCCTCAAAAGAAACAAACAAAATCTAAGGGCTAAATTCAATCCGAACTCGACTGCACAAAGCTCTTACTAACCCGCTTCTAAACTACCCACCGCCTGACTAGCTAGGGATCTGGCAGGGAGATCCCAAGGCCGACTAGGAGGGAAAGTCGGCACTTACCGATGCGGCCGTGGCCGTGGCTCACGTGGCCCCTAAGCTTCCGGGTCTTCCTCAGTCTGGATGGCTGTGGGGAAACTGGAGCTTAGTGGTCCGTAAGGCTTTAGGGACAAGGGGCGAAATTGCCCAGGCTGCGGGGTTACGGAAAGGCCAGGAGCCGTGAGGGCTCATGAGGGCAGCTCCCAGGCGCTCCGGCCCGCGTGCCTCTGTGATCCGAACCCCACACGAACATGCAGGCTCCCCGCCCCGGGCCCACGCCGGCCACCCTGCCCTGCGGCCGCCAAACGCGGCCTGGAAAACTGAGCCAAGATTGGGGGATAGGGGAAGTAGAGGCCCAAGAGAACAGCAGCAACAAAGCGGGAGCCACAGAAAAACTGCCTACCATTTCGGCGGCCCAGGAGAAAAAGAGAGAGGTCTCTGCGAAGTCTCGCGAGGTACTGAACACGGGGGCGGAGCCAAGAGCCCCACTTCCGGTCAGAGGCCGGGCCTCGGCCGGAACCTGTTTCGTCTCGCGCGGCAGCGTCTCGCGCCACTTCCTCGTCTTCCGGATCTTCGTCGATTTTAGCGCGCAGCTTTTGTGGCTTTTGCGGCTGGGAACGTTTCTTGGTGCAGCCTGGGTTGCGCTCCCGCTCAGATACTGAGAGCTGTCGAGGAATTCTGGGTTTGGGGCACTGTGGTGCTTATTTCCGCTGCCTAGGTGGGCCAGGCCGTTTGCCCGGCGCCTTGGCTCAGGAACCCACCCGGGCTGACCCAAGAGGCCGTTCACCAAATTCCCCGGCCCTGACCAGTCCCGCGTGCCTCGCTGTTCTCAGGGGGTTCCTCGCTCCTGGTTGTAAGGGTTGCTTGTTTGACCCCCGGACGCAGTGAGGTGCTCAACCCGTGTTTGGCTTCATTCCCTTTGGAGCCCATTTACAGTCTCCCGAACTACCTTTACCACCTCGGGGACCTACTGGTCCACACTCCAGTGTGGGCGCTTGATCTGCCTTTCTCGTTTGACTTTGTTCCATTATTTTAGGCGTCCTCACGGTGTGAATTATACCTACGCTTCTAGAATCAATTGTAAGGAAAAATACAAATTCTCCCTGTTAAAAATAAGGGAAGAGGCTTCCCTCCTCCCCTTTTCTTTCTGAATTAACATTCTTCTTTCAAGATTCAGCTTTGAGGTCATGCCCTGAGAAGCGTTCGCCACCTCGATTCTCATCTAGTACTGCTCAGAAGCCCTCCGGACTCCACCTAACTTGTAAATTCTTTGTCTCTTGGGAAAGTGTGTAAATCCTAAGGTGTCTCCTCAAGGATTTGGCGGCTACTTCTTTGAAATGTAACTTAAAGTGATCCTCGCCTACTTTCCAGTTTCCTGGAAGGAGGTTAGCGTTACCTCAGGTGGTCCTGTCCCAAACTGCAAACTTACCTCCTGACATAAAGATACTAGAAAATTAACAATATTATCTCGAAAACATGAATGTAATGGATTGTATCCGTTTAGCTATATAAGCTGCTTTTCTGTCTGCAGTCTCTTCAGCAGATTGCTTGTGATGCATCACATTCTCGTTTAATGTTTATTCAATAATATACACCTGGTTGCTTTATGATCCTTTTTGTTCATATCCTTTAACTACTTTCTTTAACCGTAATGTTTTAATTTCATCTGAGCCTACGTGACACACTCGTGACTCCAGCCTCTTCTGGACTAGAGGGCCCCTGCCCAACGTGGACCCAGTGCAAGCGTCTTCTGTTCTGTGACTGCTTTTCTGACCCTTTCATTCACAGTTGCTTGCTTCTCCACTTGTGCCATCACACAATCTAGTACACAGCTCTTACATAATAATTGTCTTTCCTACTAGACCAAATTTCTTAAGGACTCTTGGATTATTTTTCTTAATCCATGGATTCTCAGTTCCTGGTATGTAATATATGCTCAACAAATGATTGCTGAGTGAATATTAAGTGTACCAACCCACACCTCCTTGTCTTCATTAACAGTGGTAGAGGCATCCCTTCTGTCTTAGGTTGGCTCCTTCAAGCAGTGTTCAAGATTCCATTCCCTTAGTTCCTCCATCTCTGTGTGTGTGTGTGTATGTATTTATTTCCCCTGCCTTGCTCCCTTCAGCTAAAATATATTCTACTTTCCCATCTTAAATTCTTCCCAGCTCTATCTACTATCTTTGTTCTTTGCTTTATGGTCAAGTTCCCCAAAACAGCAATCTATGAGTTCTGTCCATTTTCTTGCTTCTGTTTCGTTGTTTAATCCATTGAAGTCTAGCTCTCAGCCCCATCATTTCAGTGAAACTGCTGTTACCAAGGTCATCAGTGAACCAACTGTACCAATGAACCAAATCGAATGGACTCTTCCCATTTCTCATACTACTTACCCTGTCTGTTGTACTTTACCCCTTTCACTTCTTTTTCTTGAAAAGTTCCTGCCTTCTTCCTCTGGTTGCTTCTCAGTCTTCTTTTCAGGTTCTTCTAACTTTGCCCGCCATTTAAATGTTGATGTTTCTCAGGCTTCTGTCTTTGCCCCTGTTATCTTTTCACAGTAGTCTTGGCTGAACTCATCTTGTGTGGCGTCAATTCACATCTGTATTTCTGAGCTCTACATCCATATATTCATTTAATTACTGGTTAGTATCCTTGGACATTCCACAGGCAAAATAAACATCCAAAGAACTCAATCTTCCCTGCTCACTGGTGCCTTCTCCTGTATTCTCTATCTTGGTGAGTGCCACCATTGTTCCCCTAGATATGATGTCAGAGAAACCTGAAAATTGCCCCCAAGTCCTCTCTTCTTGTACACTATCACCATATCATTTTATTTCTGTATCTCAATTTTGCTTCCTCCTTTTAAGCACTAGTGCCACTGCCTTCATTCCAGTCCTCATCATATGTCTTATCTGGAGTATTCAACACCCATCTTAAGTGATCATACTGCCTGCATTCTAACCCTCCTCCAATCCCTCCATCCTTCACACCTCTTCAAGGTTAATCATCCCAAAACAGGACTTTTACCCTTTTACTTACTTGACCAAAAAGTTCAGTGTCTCCCTATTAGCAACAGAATATGGCTCATTTACCTGTTCAGCCTTACCTCAGCTTCTTCCCTACACAAACTTTCTGCTGCAGTCAAACTTTGTACATCCCTTCTGCCTTTTTGCCTTTGCTGATGCCATTTCTCATGCTTGGAGTGCCCATCCCCTTCCTAACCACATATCCTGAATCTTCCTCAACTTTTAAGACCCACCTTATATTCTGCTTCTTCCCAGAACACTCTAGTCAACAGTAATAATAGCCAACATTGTCAGAGCACCTTACAGTTTACAAAGTGCATCTGCCTGAGAGGTCAGCGCTACCAGTTCCATTTTATGAACAAAAACTGAGACACAGGGAAATTGAATGCTTTGCCAAAGACTACAGAGGAAGTAAGAGACAGAGCCTAGACCTAGCCTTTAGTCTTCTCTCTCCAGATCCCTGCTTTTACCTCAGTGACCACTCCCTCTCTGACCTCACAGCATTGTGGTTTTCATCACTCCTTCAACCCTTAATCACATACTGCCTGTGGCCAGCAGAAAGAGGGGACTTGAAGTTGGGGGCAAGGTCTAAGAAGAGATCATTCTCTATTTGAAATCAGAACTGGCCAGTAAAGTCCACAAGGGATGAGCTGAGCTACCTGGAAACTAGCCCTGGGAAGATGGAGGTAAGCTGGGCAGAACCTTGGGGATGGACAGTAACCATCATGTGTCTTGTAACTGGGGCCTAGAGCAAGGACCAAAACTGTCCAGGGGGTGGAGGTAAGGTTCTGAGTAATGGGACACTGCTTCTGGATAATTCGCCAGGTTCCTTGTTATAGAGGAGCTACATCCTGTCCCTCAGGCCACCTGGCTGAATGGGAGACCTCTCTGAGTGGACTAGCACTTTGTGTTGGGTTCTGTGCTCACCTCTAGCATTTTTCTCATTGATGGTTTGATCTCCAGGGTAGAGGGAGTGCCCCGGGTGGTTGTCTAACTTGGTTTTCTAGCCAGCTTAAATCATGTGGTTTAAACCTAGGCTCATGTGAGGCACATTCAGTGTGGGTCAGTTTCCCTCAGCTGACCAGCTCTCAGAGAGCAGATAAAGCTGAGTTCTATATCAGCAAAGTTGAGGAGTAACCAGATATTAGGCACAAGGCGACCTGTCCCTCCCTGCCAGGCACCCAGGGCATGACACTGGGCATGACCCCTGAGAAGCTTCCTTCTCTGTGACATCTCTCCTGAAGTACAGCATGGCCTTGTGACATCTCAGGAATCTGGGCTCTGTGTGTGCCTCCCTCAGTGGCATGGCCTCAGAAAATACCTGTGAAATGAGAATAAGGGAAATGATGCCAGGCCAACAGCCTGATGAGGCAGGTAAATGTGGTGGTGACCTTTTTGCTACCGCAGGCCTCTCTGCAGGTGGCCTCAAGAACACGCCACCACCCTGGTGGTGCCTCTCCCTTCTTCTCCTCTCTGGGTTCCTAAGTTCATAATTGGACCTTCCATCAGCAATAGCAGCATGGATGGATCCTGCCTTGTTTTCTTGCTTCCACCTTTAGATTTGGACATTTGGAAATATTCTGTTGTTTCCTTTTTCAAGCAGGGCACTGTTTATTGAAGATGGGCAGAGCTAGGATTTCTGTTCTTCTCTAAGTGAGAATTAAGGAAAACCCAGAAATCCAAATTTATTTCAGAAAGATTTGGGGGAAAAAAAGTAATACAAAAGATAGTACAACATTACAGAAAATTTTGAAAAAACATGTAAGTATCATGACCTCAAATTATGCCACCTACAATGCCGTTTTCGTTTCTGAGTATCACCTCTCAGCCCTTGTCTGTGGAGACATAGGTATCTGCAAAGCTGATGATCATATATACAAGTCCTTTTTCATTTAATACCATTACATTTTTCTGTATCATTACCCAGTCTTCGTTATTATTTTTAGCGGCTGAAGAATAATTTATCTTCAGCATGTACTATAATTTACTAAACCATTTTCTTGTATATTTTGTTTTCATTTTTTTCTTGTATTCTTTACTGTTAGAGACAATGTTGCAATGAACATTTGTGTATACATAGGATTTTTTTCTTCTGTTGAATAACTTGTCTAGGATAAATTCCCAGGAGTGAAGATTGCTGGATTACAGGGAATGAACATTTTTATGATTCATTTTATATTGCTATTTTTTTTCCAAATGGATTGTACCAATTTATGCAGCAACAGTATGTATAGTTTCCAGTTTCATTTCAACTTCACCAGGCTCAGGGGTTTTTGTTTGCTTTTTTCAGTTTTTTTTTTAAATATATGGCATTTAGGGGAAGACCTGTAGGCCTACAGGTAGGGTTGTTTTCAGCACAAAGTAAAAATAATTTAATTCAAAGATTAAGGACTCCTAGGAGTCTTTCCTTCCTGTGTTGGATAGATTTTTAAAAATCTCATTG